CTCATAAAAAGCAAAGATATACGAAATAAGACTGTAGAGAATTTAGGTGAAATTCAGGGGACATGGGGCACTGGCACCTTTTTTTTTTGAGACAGAGTCTTGCTCTGTTGCCCTGGCTGGAGTGCAGTGGTGTGATCTTGGCTCACTGCCATCTCCGCCTCCAGGTTTCAAGCGATTCTCCTGCCTCAGCCTCCTGAGTAGCTGGGACTTCTTGCCCAGCTAATTTTTTGTATTTTTAGTAGAGACGGGGTTTCACCATGTTAGCCGGGATGGTCTCGATCTCTCGACCTCATGATCCGCCCGCCTCGGCCTCCCAAAGTGCTGGGATTACAGATGTGAGCCGCCTTGCCCGGCGGGTGCACTGGCACTTTTAAAGCATGTTTTAAGGATTTAAGGGACCATGTTACTTTAGAAACATCAATCTGGTGAATACACGAAATCATCATCTTCGATTTGTAAAAATTATTTTTTATAATCATTTATGAGAAAATTTTTAATACAACTGGCTAATAAGCTTAGGTGTTCTAAAAGTTTATTACAGATGAAGTTACCATTTATTGAACCTTAAGGAACCTAACATTTCATACTGCTTTTGATTTTTCTGCTCGTAATATTGCCTGTGGTATTATGCATCAAATGAAAGAACTGGGATAGAGAAGGGGAAAGAGGGACGCTTCTGACTGGTAGAAACAACCTCTGCTATGTAGAACTTCGCCTAATCAACTCTTGTCAGCTATTGCTGATATCGATTTGTTCATTCTTACACTTTGTTTTGATCATCTGCATAGGTTTTAAGCACTTTAGTTTGGCTCAGATGAAACTGGTTTTTTTGGTCTTTCACACAGAGTCCTAAACATCGGCAGAGTCATTCCATTTGACAGCCGTTCTATGCCCCACCTGCACCCGTCCTACGCCCCACCTGCACCCGTCCTACCTGGACACGAGGCCACTGGCTTGCCTTGAAAACTCTGATGCGAGCACAGTGTGGATCACCTCATTTCCAGGTAGCATGAACGATTAATTTTCTTTTTGAAACGAAATCTCATCTGCCTTCTTGTAATTCTATACATTATTCTTACTTTTGCCTCTGGAGCGACATAGAATAAAGCTATATTCCAGCTGACAGTGTTGTCAGTTCTTGAGAATTGCCACATGTCCCTGTCTGGGTTTTCCTCACCAGGCCAAATTCCCGGAGTCTTTCAGACATCCACCCTCATCAGACTATGCCCTGGCCCATCATCCGTTCAATTCCTCAGATATATTCCAATTCAGCAGCGGGCCTTTTTTACTGGATTTACTTTCTATTAAAAGAATATGTTGTTTGGTCTAATTTCTTTGGGGCATGCTTTTTGCTTTTTCTTTCAGCGTAGAAAAAATCTGTCCTTCCATCAAATCTGTTTCTTCCCCTGGAAGGTCTCCACAGCTCAGTCAGGATGAAGTGAGCCTGGACCAATGATCGTTCCCTGTGCTGGTGTTACAGTTACAAAGACCAGGTGATGTTTCCATCATTTCACAGGAAAAACTAGGGGGAATTGGTTTATAGCGGTGCAGACATTTTACTGCATGTGCGCCTTGACCAGTGGAAACAGTAATTCACCAAACACATGTGAGTGCCTGCCTGGGGAAGAAGAAAGATGGTCATGATATAGTCTGAACGGGCTGTTCGCAGCCCAGCAGGGAAGCTACAAGATGTTAAATGCAAAAGCCCTGGTCGGGCGCGGTGGCTCACGCCTGTAATCCCAGCATTTTGGGAGGCCGAGGCGGGCAGATCACGAGGTCAGGAGATCGAGACCATCCTGGCTAACAC